TTCCTGCTTCCTTGGTTGTCGTCAACCTTACCTCACAAAATAGTAGGCACTAGTAGTGATGACATTGAACGTTTTTAAGTTACTGAGACGTTTTTTCCATTTGCATCGTGCTGTTTTTCCTAGCTCCCGCAAACATCTACGGAAACATGCTCTCGCCCTCGCCTGTAACCTTTTGCAGCAGGAGCGCGCGATCCAGGGATAAGCGGAGAAATGGCGGCGAAATTGCCGCCAGCGTATCGCCTGATTACGAATCGCACCCCAAGACGAAATCGCCACAAGGGCGCGCCCCAGGACGAAATCGCCATAGGCTCGCACCCCAAGACGAAATCGCCACAGGCGCGCACCCCAGGACAAAATCGCCATAGGCGCGCACCCCAAGACGAAATCGCCATTGGCGCGCACCCCAGGACGAAATCGTCACAGGCGCGCACCCCAGGACGAAATCGCCAGAGGCACGCACGAGGACGAAATCGCCATTGGCGCGCACCAGGACGAAATGGCGCACCCAAGGACGAATCGCCACTGGCGCACCCCAGGACGAAAGCGCCATGGGCACGCCTGATAACAAAAGCGCCTATGGCGCGCCAGAAATGAAACTGCCACAGCTCTGGCGCCCCTGCGAGGACGAAACCTGCTTCTATTGCTAAAACAGGTATGTGCTAAAATACGTTTTCTCATATGTATCATATTATTTTTCTTCCATTTGACTTTCATTCTTGATGTAGCGGACGAAGTGAGGGGCGATAGCTCGGGCAAAAGGTCGCCACTGTTTACACCATCGCAAAGACGGCCATTTTTTACACCCACGACGTTTCCACGACGGGAAAAGGACCGAGGGTCCCATTGCTGGCCAGAGGGTCCTTCCCTAGGGGGGAAAGGGACCGAGGGTCCCGTTGCTGGCCAGAGGGCCGTTCCCCAGGGGGGACAGGGACCGAGGGTCCCGTTGCTGGCCAGAAGGCCGTTCCCCAGGGGGGAAAGGGACCGAGGGTCCCGTTGCTGGGCAGAGGGCCGTTCCCCAGGGGGGAAAGGGACCGAGGGTCCCGTTGCTGGCCAGAGGGCCGTTCCCCAGGGGGGAAAGGGACCGAGGGCCCCGTTGCTGGCCAAAGGGCCGTTCCCCAGGGGGGACAGGGACCGAGGGTCCCGTTGCTGGCCAGAGGGCCATTCCCCAGGGGGGAAAGGGACCGAGGGTCCCGTTGCTGGCCAGAGGGCCGTTCTAGGGGGGACAGGGACCAAGGGCCCCGTTGCTGAACAGAGGGTCATTCCCCAGGGGGGAAGGGGACAGAGAGAGTCCAAAATCAGCCAGGGAGACGTTGCCCTAAGACGGGACGCTAGCATGAATTGTGTAGGTCTCATTGTGGCCAGATATTGAGATATTTTACATGATTTTGGTATGGATCAGATATATTATTGTAGGTGTTTATTAATGGGAAAACTGTATGAGTCTTAAAAAAATAAATAAAAAAAATTGGAGTGATCTGATTACAAATATTTGGTTGGTAGAGTTTAAGTAAGGCTTTTTAACCTCACTGGTTCCACACACCAAACCCCAATCATTGTTTCTTTTGCATTAGGGCAGCGCGGAAGGGATCAGGCGTTCGCTATCGTGCACTACACATCCAACTTGTTCTATCATACATGTACATGCTTGACAAGCGACGTGCATGCTTATTAATGATTGAGAAATGTTGGGTACAAATCTACCGGCTGTGCATCGTATGGACAAGATGCGCCGTTGGGAGTTAAAGATTGACTTTTCGTTTCAAAAAAAAAAAAAAAAAGATGAAGTCCTCGTCTAACCCGCATGCCAGACTGAGCTTCCCTACTACGATATCCAAATGAAGTTCAGACACTCGCGCTGTAGTTAGTCGGGAGCATCAAACCAATTGAAGTGCAGCACATTTGACATTTCAAGCGCCGAATACCGTACAAGCTATAATTTGTTCCAGATTCTACACCGAGGGTCATGTTAGTGGTCAGAATGCCATTTCCCAAGGGGAAAGGAGCAGAAGGTCCCTGATGGTCAAAGGGTTGTTCCCCTAAGGTCAGGAGGCTGATTGGACACTAATTGTGGCCTTATAATGGAGATATTTTATACGAGTTTGGTTGCTGAGAAGAGTCGTCTTCCAGTGTTGATCATAAAAAAGAGCTGTCCAACCTTTTATAACACCGTATATATGCGTGGACGCATGCGCCATGCGGTGAACATGGAAGCACATTGCCTAAACTCTCTCCCATTTGAGTATAGTTCACATGGTCATTGGCAAGCACGCACACTATTGGGTCCCGCATGGCCATAGAGTAGTTGGAGGTGCTCACACAGTCATTTAATCAAGGTCATTTATTTTGCGTAGATCAAATCCGTTGATGGTCAGATTCTCACATCATTTTGACACGCCAAGAGCTGTTATGTACGTGTTACAAAAATTCTTGCGATGCGGTACTCTACATAAAGAACCATAGGGATGAATCGAGCTCTAGTCAACGACCGAAGATACTGGCCATGATACTCCTAGGCCAATGGATGATTTTTCCTACCGCTTACCGTAATTTATTTGACTAGCGTTCATACGTTACTCTTCCTAGCGCAGCTCTCACGCCCCCGACCACACCGATCCCAACCTAACAAACCTCTTTCCTTAGTTGCGATTCCTCATTATGATCGCGCGCTAGCTGACATCCTTCCACAGGAGCTTTGTCCTCTTGTGTGTTCTAGCGAGCACTTGCGAACATGAAAGACAACTCCTGACAATAAAACTAATTTCAATAAAAACGCAATTGCTGCTCAATTCGTCACATAGAAATCGCTCGCATGCTATCGTGCTTTGTTATCCATCCATTAGCTCGCTCGCATCCTCAACAGTGAAACGTCGGCATTCGTTGCGGATGTCGTCGAATCCTGACGGTCGGAATCTTTGATCCGAGGGCTGATATGCACCAACATCCAGCGACATGGTCACTTCAGTCACGCTCGAAACACCAACTACCACCAGTTTCAACCACACTCTTATGCCGCACCAACAACCAAGACATCCACCATCTGATGGGACAAACAACCTCAATGCACAACATTCGGAACCCCATTGACACGGCGATCGCAACCACCAACGGCACCCCTCTCAGCACTTCGTCGATGCCATCAACTGCAACGACACGTCTTCAACGCCCCCAACCACACATGTCTCAGATGACCCAATTCTAATGAAGCATGTTGCCATTGCAAGAACAGAAAGCAAGCTTTCTCAATATGAAATTTTTTGAAAGTGTATAACACTTTCTAAAAATACGTATTGTGAAAGCGCAGCTGACTGTAGTGCAGCAAGGCAACTGCGAATTAGCATTCGCCGAATATATGAGAGGGTTGGAGGCCATTTGGCCTCCACCCACGTCTTCATTTCGGAACTTTGTAGTTCCACTCCCCACCCACCCACCCTAATTATATACGGTACATGGATGATTCTTAGTTGGACGAGAATGTTGTAATTACTGCAATTCTAATGAAGCATGTTGCCATTGCAAGAACAGAAAGCAAGCTTTCTCAATCTAGTGTGCCTGCTGCAGTAAGATTTGAGAAGCATTTGCAGGTGTCTGTTTTACACAGATTTCATGTGTACACTGTTTAGCACGGGAGATATGCAAAATGCCTTTCTTTCCATACAGAAAAACGATTTCTATTCCGTAAACACACATGTGCCTAGACAATGTACCAGAAGATCCTAAAATCACTTTGGTATCCTAAAATTCTACCGTAGATCTGGTCGCGTAATGCAACTGCCGCATTGCAGCAGCAGCAACTCAATGCACTATCTACCGATTCCACAATCTGGCCCATGCAATGAAACGCGATAGTCACCAACATTGCACGTCTCATACCAGCGTGAAGAGCAGTGCCAGTATCAGTACCGCCATAACTCGTACGGACCCTTCGAAGAACCCTTGACATGGCATGGCATTGCATGATATGCTGCAGATGCAGCACAGCGAGCACATGACCAGTCCCAACAACCACACCCTGCCATCTCTTCACCTGCTCTGGAGAGCGAGAGAAGAACCTGAAACAGGACAGAGCTGCAGACAACGACATGGACAGGAGCCTCATGAATCGGGACCCATATCCCATGAACCATGGCACATGATACAAGACCTATGCCCCATGACCCATGGCCCATAACCCATGGCCCATGACCCATGAACCATGACCCATGTCAGGGTTGACACAATTTATGCGGAATCTTGACATAGGTGATCACCATTCCTGAAGCTCCCGCCGAGCAATGCCTCCTAGCCTAGGCATTGCTGCTACCCTTCCATGCCCCTCTTCTCTTCTCTTCTCTTCACTTGTCGCCACCACCACCAGCACAACAGAGTGTCAGTTGGCACATACCAATACCAACCCCAACAGATCACTTGCCTTGCAATGTACCAACCCCACCCCTTGCCTTCCACTGGGTCAGATCAAGCCCAGTAACCTCGTCATTCCCTGCCCGCCCTAAAGTCCTAGTGCCCTTGCAAACCAAACCTAGCCTCCATCTCCAGCTGGTTCAACGTGTGACGCCCACCAGGCTAACCATTCTGCTTAAAATCCGAACTTATCGCTGACACACCGAGTGGTGGGGTTGGTCACGGGAAGGCTCGGCATTGCCACTACATGGCAAAGCCAGGAAGCCCACGGGGGTTGGAAATGGAAAGCGGAGGCGAGAAAAGGAGGAGGGACCGATGTTGAGATGGGAGCGAGAGACAGCACAGCAGCAGCAACAGTGGCGGCGGCAGCAGCAGCAGCAGCAACAGCAGCGGCAGCAGTGACATGAGTCCCTGTACATAGCAAGGTAAAAGGAGATCAGATGGTGATGAACACCCAACACAAGCACTTGAACAAATATCGTATGTGCATTAGCAATGAACCGAGCCTCATAGATGTAACAGCAGCATTAGTAGCAAGAGCAACAGCAGCAGCGGCATGCATCACAGAGCCTGGAATCACCTGCTCGCCTGTGCGAAGCGAATCAGGCATCCATGTGCGAGTCGTCGTCGTCATCGTCGTCGTCTCCATTGCGCGAGTTGTCGTCGTCACTCATGTTGTCGCCCTCGTCGGCCTCTTCCTCGTTGTAAAACGCATTCAGCTGCCGCTCCAGCTGGTGCCCACCACACAGAGGAACGAGGAAGAGGGAACAAGGGCAAACACGCAGCAAGGAAAGGAGAGTGGTTGCTTGTGGGAATGGGCGTGCGCGGACCTGCGTGCTTGACTTCGTGTGTGAGTGCGTGTGAGTGTGTGTGAGTGTGTGTGAGTGTGCACAAGAAACAACAGCGCGGCTTCACCTGTGTTGGGTGCGACAGCCTTACAGGCTTCACTCATCTAATCCATGATTCACAGCCGTGCAGTGCTAACCTGGGCATTCGGGTTCCTGAAGGTCTTGTTTTGAGGCACCTCAGAACATGCAGTGCGTACCTGGGCATTCTGATTCCTAAGAGCAGCGAGTTCGTTCTGCAGGAAGACGATCCGCGAGTCCAGCTCCCCCACCTGCTGGCTCAGGTCCTTCTCCCTGTCCGCTGCCACCTCCACCTGCTCGCACAAACACAGGATTGGCGTGGGCAGCACAAAAGAAGCAACCGCAGACGACTTGTGAGACGTTTCAGGTGCTCCACCACCTGCTGGCTCACGTCCTTCTCCCTGTCCGCTGCCACCTCCACCTGCTCGCAGCACACATGGGCAATGGCATGGCATGGCGTGGCATGCGCCCAAAAGGAGAAGCATCCGTAGCAGACTTAACAGAGGGATACAGAGCAGCTTGAAAACTGCAAGTCACCACCCACTTGTCAACACCACCCGTTTGACTTTTGAGTCGACTCAAAAGTCAGCTGCATGTCACCACCCACTTGTCAACACCACCCCACCCCTTTTTTTAATCAGCTGGAAATGCAACATAATGCTATGAAACGCTTTGCCACAAGTGGTCAGCAGCATATAGATTGCATTTGCAGGAAAATGGGTAAGAAGCAGGACACTGACAAGCGTGTGGCAAGGGAACGTGGCCAAGCGGCGAGTGGATGGTGGGAAGTGGGGAGAGGGGTGGCGAGGAGTGGGTAGCGGCAAGGTGGGGTGTGGGGTGATAGGGTGGTGGGGAGCAGTGAGGTAGGGTAAAACGTACAATGGAGGTCGTCATACGAAGCGAGGCTATCCCTGTATATTTTCAAGTGCCTCAATGAGTGTCAACGTGCAATAGGGTCGTCATGCGAGGCGGGGCGGGGTGTGAGGAGGTGACTTTTGAGTCGACTCAAAAGTCACCTCAAGTGCCTCAATGAGTGTCAACGTACAATAGAGTCGTCATACGAGGCGGGGCGGGGTGTGAGGTGGTAGGGAGCAGTGAGGTGGGCTTGAACGTACAATAGAGTCGACATATGAGGCGATGAGGAGAGGCTATCCCTGCTATCCCTGGACTAAAGCGCCATATAAAGCGCCATATGAGTCGTCATATAAAGCGCCTAATAAAATAGTGAACTTACAATAGAGTCGTCATACGAGCCGAGGCTATCCCTGGACGACGCAGCAGCTACGAATCTCCCATCGTCCCCTTCATTCTCCCCCTCCCCATCCGCCGCTTTGCCCTCACCCTCCTCTTCCATTCCCCTCTCGCTCCCCTCCTCCCCCTTCTCCTCACCCCTATCAACCACCCGCCCATCCACCCGCTTTCCACTTTCCCCTTTTCTCTCTCCTCCGACTCTCGCTGCTGCATCAGCCACCCCCACGCCCTCCTCACTTGAACCTGATTCTCTCCTTTCGCCTTCGCCTCGCCCTCCCTTGCCTGTATCACTCCCCCCAGCTGCAGTGCCATCGCCAGAACCATACCTCTGCCCTTCCCCCTCCCTGCTCTCTCCTTTTCCCCCAGACCCCCCCACAGTGGCACCGGGAGCAGCGGTATCAGCAAGAGTAGCACCAGCAGCAGACGTGTTATCTGCAGCCCCGTTTGCAGTGTGAGCAGCATTAGCAGCAGCATTCGCAGCAGCATTCGCAGCACTGGCAGCATTGGCAGCACTGGCACCAGCATTGGCAGCACTGGCACCAGCATTAGCAGCAGCACTCGCATTGCCAGCAGCACTCGCATTGCCAGCAGCAGCGTTGCTATCCTGAAAGCGTACGGACCGCTCCTTGCTCCCCTCACCACCACCACCACCGCCGCCGCCACCCTCCCCTGCTGCATCCGCCCCCTGCTGCTCCTCCCCTCCTCCTCCGCCCTCCCCCTCACTTGTCCCAGTGGCAGCCTCAGCCGCTGAAGAGGATTCTGATATCTCGGGAACGGATTCAGGTGCAATGACACCTGTGGGAGGGGGGTGGGAGGGCGAGAAGCCGACTTGTGAGACGTCTCAAAGATCGCTCTGCTGCAGAGGGTTCTAATATCTCAGGCACGGATTCAGGTGCAATGACACCTGTGGGAGGGGGGTGGGAGGGGGTGGGAGGCGGGTGGGAGGGCGAGAAGGCGACTATTGAGAGGTTTGAAAGCGCTGCAGCGGCAGTTTCTGATATCTCAGGCACCGACGGACTCTGGTGCATGCATCTACGACACCTGTGGGAGGGGTTGGGATGGGGTGAGAGGGGGCAGGTGGAGGAGGAGGGGAAGCAAGGAGACATGATAAGATCTCTTCAGTGCCTCTGACTCTTATGCAACAGAGTCTGCTGCTGCTTAACTGACTTTCTGTGTAAAAGACGTAATTCAATGCACAAATGCATGCATGCATACCTGTATCGCCATAGCCAGGGGAGAGGAAGTGAAGCAGGCTGTAGATCACCTCCTGAAATGGGAATACAGGAGGGAGGGGCGTGGGTAAGGGGGAAGAGTGAGCAGAGGGGGAAGTGGCGTGCATGGAAACTGGTGGTCTGTTTGAAGCAGTTTGAAGCGGAAAAATTGCCTGTGTAACCACATGCAGGCAGCAGCACCAAGAGAAGGAGCACAACCAGCAGCAGCAGCAGCAGCAGCAGCAGCAGCGGCAGCGTTCACGAGGGCACACCTGTTGCTCGGTGGCCTGGCGCAGCAGCGAACCGAGGTGCAGCATGATGCCTGCAAAAGGTGTTTCCACCACCACGTGACGCATGTCATGCACTGCCAGGGGCGTGGGGGGCAGCGACCCGCCCTGTAGGGAGTGAGGAGGGAGAGGGCGAGAGAGGAAAAGTTCTGAGACGTCTCAAAACTCGTCTCCACTGCCACATGATGCATGTCATGCATCGCCAGGGGCGTGGGGGGCAGCGACAGCGACCCGCCCTGCATGGACTGAGCGCGAGCTGGAGGACGTAAGGATCCCCAAGAGAGGGGAGGAGGAGGTGACTTTTGAGTCGACTCAAGAGCGGGAGGAGGTGACTTTTGAGTCGACTCAAGAGCGGGAGGAGGTGACTTTTGAGTCGACTCAAGAGCGGGAGGAGGTGACTTTTGAGTCGACTCAAGAGCGGGAGGAGGTGACTTTTGAGTCGACTCAAGAGCGGGAGGAGGTGACTTTTGAGTCGACTCAAGAGCTTTTGAGTCGACTCAAGAGCGGGAGGAGGTGACTTTTGAGTCGACTCAAGAGCGGGAGGAGGTGACTTTTGAGTCGACTCAAGAGCGGGAGGAGGTGACTTTTGAGTCGACTCAAGAGCGGGAGGAGGTGACTTTTGAGTCGACTCAAGAGCGGGAGGAGGTGACTTTTGAGTCGACTCAAGAGCGGGAGGAGGTGACTTTTGAGTCGACTCAAGAGCGGGAGGAGGTGACTTTTGAGTCGACTCAAGAGCGGGAGGAGGTGACTTTTGAGTCGACTCAAGAGCGGGAGGAGGTGACTTTTGAGTCGACTCAAGAGCGGGAGGAGGTGACTTTTGAGTCGACTCAAGAGCGGGAGGAGGTGACTTTTGAGTCGACTCAAGAGCGGGAGGAGGTGACTTTTGAGTCGACTCAAGAGCGGGAGGACGAAAGGATCCCCAGAAGAGGGGAGGGGAATGCAGGTGCGTTGAGGGATTCTTGAGTTGAGTCACAGCTGAAAGAGGAGCACAGCGGGGTTACAGAAATAAGATTAATTCATGGGAAAAGGGTCGGGATTAAAGAGAACGAAGACGGGGATAAACAAAACGCCCACAATGCAAGGGTGAAGGGAGGGTTGTGTGGGGGGGGTGGGGGTAGGGTAGGGGGGGGAGGAGGGGGGGCGTTTGGGGAATTGGAGGAACGGAGCGGGGGGAGGGGGGGAAGCAACGCACCTCAGTGGATTCGAAGTCGTAGGAGGAGCTGGAGTACCACGAGTCCATGTGGCATGTGGCAAGATATCAAACCGAGGGGGCGACTCAAGACTCACCTCGGTGGATTCGAGGTCATAGGAGGAGCTGGAGTACCGCGGGTCCATTTGGCCCTGCGACCCCGCGTCCTCCAGAGAGTGCCTCGGGCCTGCCTTGTCTGTGCTCACAATGGCACGGCAGGGAAGGGAGGAGGGAGGGGAAGGAGGGGAAGGGAGGAAATTTTAATATTCTCCATGTGGCCCTGCGGCCCCTCATCTCATCGTCCAGAGAGTGCCTCGGGCCTGCCTTGTCCGCTCGCACCGTGGTGCGGAGGGTGAGAGGGAGGTGGGGAAGGGAAGAGGGAAACGGGAGAGGAGACCTGGAGGCAGGAAAGGCAAGCAGCTTAACACGCACCCCCATCCACGCCCTCGCACGCAAACCAGCACGGATCCCAGCACACTCCCAAGCACGCACCCCAGCACGGATCCCAGCACGTGTAAAGAGGCCATTTATAAGACGTCTCAAAAATCACCTCTTTACACGTCGCCCCAGCACACAAACTAGCACGGATTTTGAGGCGCCTCAAAAGTCGTCCCATCCACGCCCCAACATGCAAGCAAACCAGCACGGATCCCATCCCAGCACACTCCCAAGCACATATCCCAGCATACACCCCAGTAGTGCGTGCAGGTCACACATGCATACCTGGGAGCGGCAGCGAGTGCAGGGAGTGCAGGAGTGCGGAGCGTGCGCCGTGCGAGGCGTGGGGGTGCAGGGAGGAGGCGAGCAGCAGCGACGTGGTGGGATCCATCATGGGCTCTCCGAACCGGTTCAGCGGCATGGACGCATTCCACCTGGCGGGGCAACGGAAAGGAAGTGGGGTGGGAAGGAAGGGGGCGGGGAGGGGGCGTGAGGGGACGTTGGTGTTAGCAGCGACGTGGTGGGATCCATCATGGCTCTATGAACCGGTTCAGAGGCATGGACGCAATTCCACCTGGCACGGAGGAGGATAGGGATGGAGGGGGGGGAAGAGGGGCGGAAGGGGGAGAAAAAAGGGAGAGGGGGAAGAAGTAGGGCGAAGGGATGAGGAGAGGGGGGAACGGGAGCGGGGAAAGGCTGCATTCGCGTTTTCAGTGTGTGCAACGACCAGTCAGGAAAAGAGAGCCACACTAGAAGAACGTGCGCTGTTTTTTTTTCTCTAACTCAGGAGTCATACGGTAAGAAAGGTGAAGAGCCTCTGAAACAGGGTGAGAAAGGGCACAACTGACAACGAGAGAGAGTGATGGTGTGTGCTGCTATTTTTGAGTCGACTCAAAAATAAGCACGGTGAGAAAGGGCACAACTGACAACGAGAGAGAGTGAGCGTGTGTGCTGCTGGGCACGTGGGCATGTGGGCGTGCGAGGCTGGACTTGACTAGACTTGCCTGCCCGGATGGTAGTCCAGGCGTGATGTGTCGTTCAGCGATGGCGGTTGCTCACTCGAGAGTGACGGCTGGTAGAGACCATGGCAAAGGGATTCGAACCAAAGAGCGGGAGCGGGAAAAAGAGTGACCATGAGTAAGCCGTTTTGTTATGCACACCGACCATCCAAAACGAGAGAGCATAAGAACGGAACCAAAGTGGTAGCAGGAGCGCGAACGAGTAACACAAGAGACTCACCTCAAGCTCTGTTCCGCCATCTTGTGTACCAGACCCAGCCTCAGCAGACACAGCAGGCGCTGCGGCACCAGGGGCAGCAGAAACCAATGCCCCTGTCGCAGCAGCAGCAGCAGCAGCAGCAGCAGCAGCCACAGCGGTGGCACCAGCAGGAGCAGCAGCAGAAGCAGGAGCAGCAGCAGCACCAGCAGCTGCGGCAGTACCGGCAGTACCGGCAGCAGCAGTAGCAGTAGGGGACGTGCGTGGGGGAAGGATTCCCCCATGCCCGTCCGATGCAGCAGCAGCTGCTATAGCCACAGCCTGAGCGTGCCTCCATTGCTCTACCAGCGCTGCTTCTGCTCCCTCCACCCGCGCAGCGGACACTGTCGCCGGCACCCCTTCCATATGCTGCCCTGCCTGCATAGCCTGCCAAGCCAACCAGCTCGATCCTGCATGTGCCGGCGGAACCTCCCCCTCCCACGACGTGCTTGTTCCTCCCACGCCGGCCCTAGGCCCTCCCCCTGCTGCTGCTGCGGCTGCTGCTGCTGCAATGACCGCTGCCGTTGCTGCTGGGTCCTGGAGTGCCAGCTGCTGCTGCCGCTGCCGCTGCTGCTGCTGCTGCCAATGCCACTCCTGCTGCTGCCACTCCCACTGCTGCTGCTGCTGCTGCCAGTCCCACAGCTCATCCCTATGGGCTGCGTAAAACTCACCCGCACCCACACCACCTAACCCTCCCTCCTGCCTCGCACCCACACTCTGCCTTGTCCCTCCTGACTGCTGATCCAACACCCCTGCACCACCAGACCCCTCCCGCTCGCGTCCGTCCCCGGTACTATCCGCCTCGTTACTCCCTCTAGGCCCGCCCTCTCGTGCTGTTGCGCGTGCGTGTGCTGCCTCGTCCGCTTCCCTCAGCCGCACAGCTGCTGCTTCCTTGTCTGAATCCCGATCCATGAGCATTGCAAGGTCCTGCTTCTTCCTCTGCAACTGCTGCTGCTGCTGCTGCTGCTGCTGCTGCTGCTGAGCGTGCAGCTGACGCTCTTCCACTACTCTGTCCCGTTGAGCTAAGGGAGCAAAGTCGGCACCTGCCACAGCTCCTTCCCTCCAATCAACTTGCTCCTGCCCTTTCCCTCCGCGCTCCTCCCCTAACCTCCACTCCTCCCTGCTTCCCCTCCCCTCCGAGCCCACAAATGCATCAGCTCTCTCTCGCCCCACCACCTCCTGCTCCTGCTGCTGCTGCTTCCCAGTGTCAACAACCCTCTCCTCCTCATCCCTCCTCGTTCCAACCCCCATTCCATCATCTCTCTCCCTCTCCGCCTGACTCTGCTTCCCTGCCTCCACCTCCTCACTCCCACGCCTTCCCTCTGCGTCCCCAGCACTCCCCACCATCTGTCCGACCCCTTCTTTCTCCCCACTCACACGTCTACGCTCTTGCTCCACCTGCTCCTGGTGCTGCTGCCGCTCCTGATGTAAATGCTCCTCGTGCTTACCATCATCAGGCATTCCCATTCCCTCCTTCGCCTTTCGCTCCTCCCCCACCTTCTTCTCCCTCACGCCATCCCCCTCTCCAACCCTCCCTGCCTGCTTCTCCTCGGATCCCCTTCCCGTAACCTTCACCACCCCTCCCTCACTGTCCGAAAAAATCTTCTCATGCCTCTCCTGTCTCTCCTGCTTCTCCTGCTTCTCCTGCTTCTCCTGCTTCTCCTGCTTCTCCTGCTTCTCCTGCATCTCCTGCCTCTGCTGCTGCTGCTGCTGCTGCTGCTGCTGCTGCTGCTGCTGCTGCAGCTGCTGCTGCTGCTGCTGCTGCTGCTGCTGCTGCTGCTGCACAGCCTGCTGCTGCGACATCGCCCGCTCACGGCTCTCATGCCGATCCTCACGCCGAGCCTCATTCCGTTGCTGCTGATCACCCAGCTCCCTTCTCTCCCGCCCAGACTCCGCCCTCTGCGCTTGGACCTGCCCCTGAATCTTCACCGGTCCCTGTCCCTGCCCTTGTCCCTGTGCCTGTCCCTGAGGCGGTGCCTTTGCCCCTGCTCCCGCCCCTGCTCCCTGCTTCCCGCCCTCCTCCGCGTTATCACTCCCCCTGCGAGACGAAGGCCCTGCAGAGCTTGGCGCGGAGCCCCCTGGGAGCAGCAGCAGCTCGTTCTCGGGAATAGTAGGCGGCTGCTCGTCCGGGTCCCAGATCTGCTCGTGGTGGTGGGATCGAGAGGCAACACAGGCAGCACAGCACATCACAGCACATGCAGCAGAGGACACGGGTTATTTGAGCCCCCTGGAAGCAGCAGCGGCTCGTCCTCGGGAATCGTAGGCGGCTGCTCGTCTGTGTCCCAGATCTGCTTGGCAGTGGTGGCGGTGGCAAGGGGGCAGCACAGGCAGCACAGGACATGGGATTTTGAGTCGACTCAAAAGGCAAGGGCTTGTCCTCGGGAATCGTAGGCGGCTAGCTGCTGGTCCGTGTCCCAGATCTAATCGTGATGGTGGTGGCGGTGGAGAGGGGAAACACAAGCAGCACGGGATTAACTTCTGAGTCGACTCAAAAGGCAAGGGCTTGTCCTCGGGAATCGTAGGCGGCGGGTCCGTGGTGTCCCGGAATTGCTTGTGGTGGTGGTGGTGGCATGGCAAGGGAGGTGGCAGTTGTGGTAAGGAGCAAGACAGACAGCCCAGGGGCCACAGGAAGAGGGAGCGAGCGCATTGAGAAAGAATGGGCTTTCAGGGTTGAAGCAGGACCACGGGCTGCTAACGAGCATGATTGCGAAGAGGCTAATACAGCTGGTGCCAGCGCGGGGAAAACACAAGGCGGAGAGGGGGAAGGAAAACGCAGCGGGAGGAGAGGGTGTGCGGGTACGGACCGTGGATGCTTCATGTTTGAGTTGTTGCACATTGAAGCTCCACCCGCTGACGCCCAGGCGGTATTGACTCTGCATGCACGTCCAGTCCAGCCCGCATGGCAGCCAGGAGCGGGAGGACAAGGGCGCGGAAGAGGAGGAGGAGGAGGAGGAGGAGGAGGAGGAGGAGGAGGAGGAGGAGGAGGAGGAGGAGGAGGAGGAGGAGGAGGAGGAGGAGGAGGAGGAGGAGGAGGAGGAGGAGGAGGAGGAGGAGGAGGAGGAGGAGGAGGAGGAGGAGGAGGAGGAGGAGGAGGAGGAGGAGGAGGAGGAGGAGGAGGAGGAGGAGGAGGAGGAGGAGGAGGAGGAGGGAGAAACGCGTGGGCGCGCACGTGAGTGCTACGAGCAAGCACATGGGCATCGCTGCCATGGTTTCACTGTGGTAAGTAGAGTTCCGAGCTCAAGTTGCAGTGAAAATTTGGAACTAGCTACAGCAGGAAACGAGGAGACGAGTCTGAAGTTGAACAGGGTGGCGCGTGCATGTAAGACTGGAATGGGGAAGTTCGGCAGAAAGACACTCAAGGGTTGCAAGGGCAGAGTGAGTGGTAGGAGTGGGACAGACAGAGAGAGTGAGAGAGAGAGAGAGAGAGAGAGAGAGAGAGAGAGAGAGAGAGAGAGAGAGAGAGAGAGAGAGAGAGAGAGAGAGAGAGAGAGAGAGAGAGAGAGAGAGAGAGGGTGAGAGTGTGACCTGCGAGCGCTCCTCCTGCACATTCATGGGGTCCTTGTTGGCTGCCAGGCGCGCCAGCTCCTTCTCCTGCTCGCATGGACAGGCAGTGCACGCGCACGCACACAGCACACAGCACAGGCCGGCCGACGAGGCACAGGGCACAAGGCATGGCAAGTGTGCGGGCATTCGGCAGGGAGTTGGGGGGCACGGGGGGCTAAGGGCATGAGCATGTGCTGGTGAGCTGAGCTTGTGAGAATGGCAGGGGGCAGTCGAAGCAGAAGAGAACGAGGAGGAAAGTGGTAATCAGAGCGTGAGTGGAGGAGGAGGAGGAGGAGGAGGAGGAGGAGGAGGAGGAGGAGGAGGAGGAGGAGGAGGAGGAGGAGGAGGAGGAGGAGGAGGAGGAGGAGGAGGAGGAGGAGGAGGAGGAGGAAGGGGAGGGTGCAGCGGGAGGAAGGCGTGAGTAAGGAGAGGGGATGGTGAGAGGAAGGAGGAGGGATGCGAAGGGGGAGGAGTGGGGGGGCGAAAGGGGGGTTGAGAAAGAGGGGGGGGGAGGGGAAGGGGGGGGGGAAGGCACTCACCTTGAGCATCTGCACTCGCTCTCCGAGAGTGGGCAGGCCGTGCAGCAGGTGGTGGTAAACGTAGTCGGCGTCGCTTCTACTTTCAAGGCGCCCCAGATTGGACTCACCTTGAGCATCTGCACTCGCTCGCCCAGCGTGGGCAGACCGTGCAGCAGGTGGTGGTAAACGTAGTCGGCGTCGCGCGCCTGCTTGAAGAAGGCGTGCTTCATGAGCTTCTCCGCTGTGGGGCGCTTGGACGGCTCCTTCACCAGACACATGGCTATGATCTCCTTGAACGACTGCGAGGAATCACGCACGCACGCACAGATGGCCGCATGCAACGTAATAAAGGGTGCTTTAGAGACGTCTCAGATATGATTTGCTGTGGGGCGCTTGGACGGCTCCTTCACCAGACACATGGCTATGATCTCCTTGAACGACTGCGAGGAATCACGCACGCACGCACAGATGGCCGCATGCAACGTAATAAAGGGTGCTTTAGAGACGTCTCAGATATGATTTGCTGTGGGGCGCTTGGACGGCTCCTTCACCAGACACATGGCTATGATCTCCTTGAACGACTGCGAGGAATCACGCACGCACGCACGCATGCATGGATGGATGGATGGATGGATGGATGGATGGATGGATGGATGGATGGATGGATGGATGGATGGATGGATGGATGGATGGATGGATGGATGGATGGATGGATGGATGGATGGATGGATGGATGGATGGATGGATGGATGGATGGATGGATGGATGGATGGATGGATGGATGGATGGATGGATGGATGGATGGATGGATGGATGGATGGATGGATGGATGGATGGATGCATAACATACGCATGGCCGCACATGCACATCCGCTCACACACGAAGGCACATGCGCATGCGCACACAAGAAGGGAGAGAACAAGGCATACCAGCCGCACCCACCGCAAACACGCATATATTTCCCAACCCATGCATTGGACACCATCCATGCATCCGGCACCATCCATGCATCCGCCACCATCCATGCATCAGGCACCCACCCGCCACCGCAAGAAATGGAGAACGATGGTTGCATTGCAAAGACCATAAATGGAGAACGGAGGGTCGTGGCAAATGAGCAGAGGGAGGGCTAGAGGGCAGAAGAAAAGCCAGAGGGGGGTTAGCGCGCGGAAGGGGAAGCATAGAAGGGTACGGGGAGGAGGCGTGAAGGAGGGGTGTGGGAAGGAGGGGTGCGGGAAATTAGGGTGCGGGTAAGAGGGAAGAGAAGGAGGGTTATGGAAAGGGGAAGATGTGTCTAATTAAAAACTTTTCACAGGCCAGAAAACAAGAGGCAGAGAGGCGGAGCAGCCACAACGAGGGAGGGAGTGCGGCAGAGCAGGCAGGCAGGCAGGCAGGCAGGCAGAGCAGGCACCTTGGAGAAGCGGCGGTCCCTCTCAAGGTCCAGCCCCGGAGGTGCTCCCTGCAGCGTCATTAGCAGCACCTGCGGGCAGCATACGAGAGGAGTACGGCGGTGGGGTGGTGGGGAGAGCGGACGACACGCCACAGTTGAGGATGTGTGGGGAAGAAAAGGGTTAAAAGGTGAGGAGGACGCGAGGGGAAGAGGGAGAGGACGGAACAGGAGGGAGGGCGTGGACAGGGGGGGAGCAGGAAAGGGGGGAGAGTTGGAGGGGGGAGTGGAGCGAGTGGAAGGTGGAGAAGGAAGTTATGGTGCAAGTCAAAGCGGTGGAAATGGGGATTGGGCGGTACGTGCAGGTGTATGAGCGGGACAAAACGAGGTGGAGGGGGAGCGGAGGGCAAAGGGAAGCAGGAGGGGAAGGAAAAGGGGAAGGAGGAGGGGAGGGGTAGGGGGAGGGGAACGGGAAGGGAAGGGGGGGGGGGAAGGGGGAGGGGAAGGGGGAGGGGAAGGGGGAGGGGAATGGGGAGGAGAAGGGGGAAGGGAAGGGGGAGGGGCGTGCGCACCTTCATGGGCGGGTACTTAGAGAAAGGCGCGTGGCCGTGCGCTAGCTCCAGAGCCGTGATGCCCAGCGACCATATGTCCGCCCTGGGGGTGGGGGGAGAGGGGAGAAGGGTGGCGGGGGGAGGGAGGAGGGGTTGGGGAAAGGGGGGAGGGGGAGACTGGAGGGTGGTCCGGAGCGGAGAGCGGGGAAGGAGGGGGGTGTCAGCGCGCGGAGCAGCACGGGGAGAGACAGAGCAACTCAACGCAGCGCATTCAAGGTGCTGGGTTCAGGGACGGGAGAAGGGGGGGGGAGAGAGGAGGGGGAGGGCGGGGCGCGAAAAAGGTAGCGGGAGAACGGTGGGGGGGTAACGGGACGACAGAAGGGCGTAGCGAACGGCAGGACCCAGGGGGTGGGGGGGGCAATGACGAGCTAGACCAAATGGAGGAGCCGGCAGGAGGAAGGCGAGGTGGGCGGGCAGTGGGAGAGTGGAAAACGGGAGAGCGGAAAGCGGAGAAGCGAGACGAGAGGCGAGAGGCGAGAGGCAAGAGGCGAAATGCAAGAGGGGGACCGTGCGGCAGGGGCGCGTACTTGTAGTCGTATCCGTGCAGCTGCTCCAGCACCTCGGGTGCCATCCTGCCATGGGACACGCACGCGGGAGGCGGAGGAGAGGCGGAGGGGAGGCGGAGCGGAGGTGGAGGCGGGGGAAATAAGGCGGCAGGCGCGGGGGGAGGGCGGCAGCGGGAGGCAGGCAGAAGGCAGGCGGGAGGCAGGCGGTAGCAACAGGGGGAGATTCTGATGGGGCACGGGCAGAGGAAGGCCATGCGCACGGGCATGCATGGAAAACACAGAGGGCGCATTCAAGGGGCGGGGCAAGGGCGCATGAGCGCGAGTTAACGTACGCAGCACTCACAAGAACAGCACCAGCACGAGAACAGCACCAGTCGCGCGAGCACGTGCACGCGCACGTGGGGGCGCACGCGCGCGGTAGGCGGGGCACGCGCGGGGAGCGGGCGCGTGGGGAGCAGGCGCGCGGGGAGCGGGCGCGCGGGGATCAGAGCAGAGCAGAGCGGAGCAGCGGCGCGCACGCACGCACCAGCAGGGCGTGCCGACGAAGGTCTTGCGCGACAAGAGGCGGTCGCCCGTGTCGAACATGCACGCGGACACGCCGAAGTCCGCCAGTCGCACGTTCCCCACCGCGTCGATCAGAATGTTGCCCGCCTGCCGTGCCGCGTCATCGCGCCCATGCAGTCAGATAGGCCAAATGTGGTGGGATAAGGTCGAATGCGGTGGGGAGGATATCAGCGCGGATAGATTGAGATGCGACAGATGTCGGATGGGTGTGGCATGGGGGGCGGGGGACGGCGGGGAGGGGAAAGGGGGATAATGGCTATGCACATGGCAGGCGGGGAGGAAAGGAGCGCAAAGCGGGAGCTTGGGCGGGGGGAAAGGAGGGGAAGGTGGGGGAGGGAAAATTGGAACGGGAAGGGGGAGTGGGTGGAAAGAAAGCAGAAGCGATGCAGGCAAACCACCGCAATCCTGACAGGAACCGCCCTTTCATGCTCCCTCCCACCACCAACGCCCCCGTATGCTCCCCCATAATCCCCTTTTTACAAACAGATCCGTTCACTCTATCGCTCCTTTTCATACACGCCCCCTACATTCTCCCCTTCCCCTTCCCCTTCCCCATCTTCCCCGACCCGCCCATCCGTTCCCCTCCCCCTCCCCTTCTTCCCCCCCTCCCTCCTTCCCCTCCCCTTCCCCTTCTTTCCCCCATCCCCCCACCCCCGGGTCCCCGCACACCTTCACATCGCGATGGATATGACCGTTGCGGTGCAGGTAATCCAGGCCCTTGAGCGTCTCGCGCAGCACCGTGGCGATGATGGGCTCATCCAGGCCGTCCATGTGGCACGACTTCATGATGTGCAGGCACGATCCGCCGTCCATGAAGGGCATGACCACCCAGAGGTACTGCTCGCCCACGAACGAGCAGTACGCGCGCACCAGGTTCGGGTGCCCGATCATCGTCATCGTCTGCGCCTCCCGCCGGATGTCCTCCTGATGATGGCGCGCGCGGAACGGACGGGACGGGCGGGACGGGCGGGATAGGTGGGAGAGGCGGAACAGGCGTAGGGAGAGGGGCGCGGGGGGATCCGCGGATGAGGCGGGGGGGGGGGGGGGGGGGGGAGGAGGTGGTGGCGGAGAGAGTGACGAGAGGGGAGCGACGGGTGATGCCGACTGGACTTTCGTCTCTCGTTCCGACAACGACGCGGAGAAGTGAACACACGCAAGCTAGGCACTACATCAGCGGTACGCATGTCCTTTTCCCCCCTCTGCTCCCCAATCCAAAACGCGAAACTTACAAGGCTACTGTTGCATTGCTCCAAGTCGAGCCGCTTAATCGCGACGATCTCCTTGAACGGAATGCATATGGCTTTAAAGACCACCGCGCTGATACCATGGCCGATCTCCTCTAAAAGGCGATAAGACGACGCGGTTCGAGGATACTCCTTCCCACCGCCTGGCGCGTCTCCTCCTGCCGAACTCGAGCTGGTCGGCATGCTGATGCTCGAGTCGGAATTAGTAGAATAAGAAATATAAGGCGCGAGCTGACGACGCGGAGGAAACCAGAGCGAGGCTGCAGCCGACGATGCAGCGTCCGCGCGGGAAACGCATACGTGCAGAAAAGAGGATGGGATTGGACCAGCGACGGGTTACGACGGTCTAGTGGAGGGCAAAGTGTGATCTGCAGAAATTAACAGATTATTGTTTCCCTCCATTGAAAACGTTTCCTGATGGCTAAGGGGTTTCGGGCACAACAGCCCAAACCACCCCGCCACCCTAGCCCTAATCGACTGTCGGGCTTTACTAGAGTTTCTAGGTCGTGGAAAATAGTCAGAAACTAAGCCTCTCGGCCGCTACAAAACACCAGCTAACTAGCACAACCTAAGCTCAGCACACGGGTGAGACAAACTGTTAACCTTCTTATCACGGTTGGGATGAAGGGATGAGGGACAAGGCAAGGAGCAGCTGGGTGCAAGAGTGATTTGATGATCACCTCACCATGAATGCGTGGGTGGAGTGGACACTGGAACACTGGGACACTGGGACAGACAGCAAGGGGTGTGTATGAGGTGCGAGCGGGAGATGATGCCCAGTGAGCAACACACACGGTACACATGGTGTTCTTCAGTCAGTGTGCACATGCCTTCCCCTGCCCTGGGGTTTGGTTTGGGCAGCCGCGCTGCATTCCAAGAAACGCGCTGCACTGGAGGGCTGGGTTTGGGTTGGGTTGGGTTGTTTTGGGTTGGGTTGGGCTGTGGGGAAAGCCCTGCATGGCTGTTGCGATAGAACGGAGGGGGGGGGGGGCGGGGAGTTGGGTTAGGTGAAGGTAGAAGGTGCGACCAAGGGCCGAAAGAGGGAGTGCGCGGGAGGGAGGTGGTCAGTCTGCGCGGAAGGGTGCTGTGGCGCATCTCTGTTGGCGAAGGTCCCGAGCAGGCCTGTCGCTTGCAGGGCGTTTTCCCTGCTGGACCTTGAATTCGAGGGCTGGGTTTCCCTTGAAAACTGAAATTGATGGGTTGAGAAAATTGTGGCCCTGATTCATTACAGGGCTGATTTCGGCCTTAGGTCTGGAGTGTTAAGGGTAGATTTTAGGCAAGCCCTGGAACAAGTCTTTCGAACTTCCCCTCCCACTCCTCCCCCCCCCCCCTCCCCCCCCAAACTCCTCCATTCCCCCTCCCCCCGTTTCTATTTTGATTGCATTCAAGCCTGTCAAATTTGGAGTTGCGTGGCTGGACCACAGATTCAACTCAACCAACAACTGGTACTTGTACCAATTACAACCCGCTCCCATCCCATGACACACAGACAGTAGCATGAACCAACATGCAGCAGCAAAACACATCTCAGATCCCCGTCATGTTGTGCACCCTCAGGCCTGAATGGGCATAGCAAGCAGCAAAACACATCTCAGATCTTTGCTAAGAGTTGGAAGAGGAGGAAGTCTGTTACGTGTGCGTAGTGAATGACGCTAACTAGTTTTTTTATTGCTAACTAGCTAATTTGATACTAGCGGAGTGCAGCTGTCAGCTTTGTGGTAGAACTGAGGCTGCAGAATTTTCCGCGGCAAACCTGATTTACAGGGAGGAATAAATTTCAGCCCTGAAGCCTAAAGGGCCGAGATTCGCCCCGACCCTGCTAAATACAGGGTCGTACATGCCGGGCCCCCTGATTTGTCCGGGGGGGCCAAAACGAAACGACAGCCCTGGTCCCGAGATTCCGTACAGGGGGGACGTCGGGTAAAACCGCAGACACCTTCGGGGTATTGCGCAGATCCAGGGGAGGGGCAATTGGGCGTGGGACTGTGTGGCGCAATTTCCTACCCCGAACTGATTCCCCCACACTACTCGGACCTCGGTGATTGGAGACCGAGCTCACTAAGGTGACAGAACAGACGCGGTTGTTTACCTCGGGCTGGTGAAATTATTTGCATACTGCCCATGACACCGTTTAGGACATACGTGTATTTATTTGCGATGCCACTTATGCAAACTTACAAGATGTAAAACTTTCGAATTTGACTGGTGGAGGTTTCAAGGAGGTTCGTCAGGGGTTAATTGGGTTGATGGAGAAAGTAGCCAATAACCACGCAACACTTGCACCTTGACCAGGGAAAGCGGCGGCACACTTAGTGGGATAAGTTCAACAAACTGATACCTAACCTCAGGCTCGGCAGCAGGCCCCAAAACGTATTTGAGAGGCAACAGTGTTCTAGGTGTATTTTTCAGCTCACTTCACTACCAAGTACAGTAAAACGTCACCCAACATCTGACTCTTGTTGTGGTTGGTTCTGGTAATACTTGCCAGACAGCAGTTACCCATCGGTCAGCTTCCTGTTGTGCACCTCTAAAACATAAATCATAAGATAACCCCATGCATCATCACACACAGCACACATTCGCCAATCTAGGCAGGACAGACCTCCGTCACCCCTCTCAGATCATAAAAAGCTGGTACATCAACAGGCAATCCTCCACATGCCGACAGCCAGCATCGGCTGCCCCTTGAAAGTCATCAGAAGCCCCCCGTCATCCTGCTCCTGCACCCCAAACTCCCTCGGGAACTGGGACATGGCCGCCGCCACTTTATGCCGGGCATGGTCTGAAAACGGCAGAGCAGCAAACGACGCCTCTCTCATTCGGCTCATCCACTTCCCCAAAGGCTCCGACCGAACGACCCGCAGCGAGCCCTCGCAAGCCACCACGTTCACAATGTCCCTCCCTAGGATCGCCTTTTCGATAAAATCCCTTGACGAATGCAGCCGCGGCGGTGCAAGCCCTGCTTCCATGGATTCAAACACAGAGAGGTAGAAGGGTAGGGCTTCCCCCAATCGCCTAAGAAAGAACGGCCCATCGTGATCCACGTGCCTCTCTCCGAGAACAGCCACGCGCGGGGAGAGGCGGCGCAGGGCGCGCAGCGCAGCGTCGCGGGGGGAGTGGCGGACAACAGAGCCCCCTGGGAGCAGATGCAGACGCATGATGCCGTGCACAAGAAGCGCCTCTGTTCCTCCCCTGCCTGCTGCATCTCCCTGGCCTGGGTCACTGCTGCTCCTGCTGCCAAGACTATCCTCCGTGCTGCTCCGCACCATTCTCCACGGCACCACAGCACCATCCGCACCACCACCAGCAGAAGCAGACGGATTCTGGCTGTCAGCGATGGCAGGTGCATTCGAGGCGGAAGCAGAGCTAAGGGGTGGGCGGTGCTGTGCAATGTGGGAGTCGATAGACTCGAGAGAGCACTCCACAACGGCAAAGTCTAGCCGGATGCCCGCATTGGCTGCTGCGCGCGTGAGAATGGCCTTGCAGTCTGCTAGCGGTACTTGCGGTAGCACTCGCCATGGACACTGGCTTGCTGGTGACTCGATCTGGGGCGTGGTGGCAGGCATATGCATGGCAGGAATGGGCAGGGAATGCAGATGGGGGCAGAGGGTGGGGCAGTGGAGAGGGAAGGGGGTTTGGGAAGTAGAGAGAAGCGCAGCGACGGGAGAAAAAAATCAGGTGTGCCTTTCTGCCCCCATCTGGTGCAACAGCTGGGCACGAGAAAGCCAGGAAAACGAAAAACAAAAAAATTGCAACCGTGCACACAGGGGAGCACAGCACGCCCAGCAGCGCCGAGCACAGCAAGCATTAGGAAGAAGCAGCACCACGTGACGTGACACACCTTGGTGTATCGGAGCAGGGGCTTAGGGCCCGGGCGGGCAGCAAGAGAGGCGATGAAGTCGGGCCACTGCGCGCCGATCCACCAGCCAAAGTCCACCACGTGCACGACGGTGTCGGTAGGCGAGATGGCGGACAGCAGCGCTGCGTTGCATGCGGAGAGCAGGAAGTGGTGGTGCGGCATGCACGCTGATATGTCCGACATGGCCCGCATGAAGTCCTGTGGAGTTGGAGAATCAGGAGAGAGAGAGAGAGAGAGAGAGAGAGAGAGAGAGAGAGAGAGAGAGAGAGAGAGAGAGAGAGAGAGAGAGAGAGAGAGAGAGAGAGAGAGAGAGTGAGAGAGAGATCGGCTCCAACTGCAGGGAAACTACAGCACGGGCTGGCGACGGCCATCCAGGGCCAGCGCTATGCGGTGCAGGTGGAGGAGGAGCGGGGGATGAGCCCGAACCCCACCACCGGTCACACGCAGCGGATGCTATCAGGGTATGGGGCGGGGGATTGGTTAAACGCAGTGCCCATCCACTCCTCGCTCCGCCTTGAGGCTCCCCACTATGCCAACGCGCTCCAGTTTCGGCTAGGGCTCCCCTTTGCGGCTCCAGGGGTTTGCAACTGCTCCAAGAAGGTGGAGATCCCGGATAAGCGGCTCCCGAATCACCTGCTTCGGTGCGGAACAGGGGGGGGGGCGCACAAACACACACGATGAACTCAGAGATGAGTGCGCGCGGATGGCGCAAGATGCAGGCTTCATGGTGCACATCGAGACGGCCACCTTCAGCCCAGTGGAGGAGAAGAAGGCAGACCTGGCCTTACGCTGCCGCTCTACTGGCGCCGTCTACATCTGCGATGTGACGATAACGGACCCCATCAGCACCCGCGATGAGAACGCCACCAAGGGGAGGGGGTGGGCGGCACGGGAGGCAGCAGATAAGAAACACGGCCTTTACAAGGACCGCCCAGAGTGGGTGAAGTTCTTCCCACTAGCGGTCGAGACATACGGGTGTCCCTGCCCAGAGTCAGTAGACTTCCTGAAACTACTCGCAGAAACGGCTGCACGGCGGTTTTTCAACGCCGAGCCCACCTCCTACCAAGCTGCCAAGCTCTTACACCAATACCGGCAGCGGTGGTCAGTGGCTCTTCAACGTGGGCAGTCGATTGGGTACCTGGAAAAGTGCAAAATAGCAGCAGCAGTTGAAAACCCGCTACTAGAAGCAGTGGGTGAGGCCCCGTCCCTTGGGGACTGCCTCGCGGTTCTTGATCCATCACTGGATCTCACTTAGAGGGTGCAGAGCAGGATGAGAGAATAGGAAGTATAGGCTGTACTAGCCCCACCTTTGCGTTGACTTATACCTTGCATGTCTGTACGCTTTGACTATCAATGAAAGGGCCATTAGAGAGAGAGATGTACCGGTTTGCGTGTTTGTTTAGCTTGTGTGTTTGCATCTTCCACTGTACCACCTCATAAGTAATGCAAGGACCATTCGAGAGAGAGAGAGAGGGATTTTGAGTAAGACGCATCAAGAATCGTGTCACTTCACGCGCAAGAGGTGGCATGATGATATGTCCGACATGGCCCGCATCAAGTCCTGCGCAGGTGGGGTACGAGGAGAGAGGGAAGAGGGAGGAGGAATAAGCTTTTGATGCGCATCAAGAATCGTGTCACTTGATGCGGCAGCGGTGGTGCGGCATGCACGCTGATATGTCCGGCATGGCCCTCATGAAGTCCTGCAAGGGTGGGGGATGGGGAGAGAGGGGTTTTGAGACGCCCGGGGAATCATGTCACTTCACGCGCAGCGCAACTGGTGGTGCAGCATGTGCACGCTGATATGCCCAGCATGGCCCTCGCGAAGACAGGAGACAGAGACACAGGCGGACGGACGGAACGACGGACGGACGGAGAGAAGACATACATCGTGGGGCGGCACGTTGGGGGAGTTCCAGTGCAGGGCGCCTTCGCCATTGATGCGCGCCATGAGGCCCTCCAGGAAGTACACCGCCACGCGCTGCTCCGCACTGCCGCGCGAACTCACCAACGGCAGCAGCTCCTCACACTTCTGCCGGATCGTGGCCTGCCCGGGCAAGCGGTGGCGCGGCGCACACGCAAGGGGAGACAACAGGAGACGCAGGTGGTGGGGGGAGTGGGGGGGAAGAGGGAGAGGATCAGGGATGGGAAGGGCGGTTGTGAGGTGTAGGAGGCGATGGGTAGTGGTTCAGGAGGAGGGTGGGGTAGGGGGGTTACTGAATGACGAGTTTGTCGTGAGAATGTGAGGAAGCCCCGCCATGTGAACCAAAGAAACAAACACAGTGGAACAGAAAACATAAACGTTCTCATCGCGTAACCTCAACCCCCAACCAACCAGCCCCACCCAGAATCCTCTCACTCATTCCTGGTAGCCAAGCCTGACCGCTGCATGCATGCATGCGCGGCCGGCCCTTGCCCACCTCCCCTCATCCTCAGCCGTGCAGCTACTAGCTCCGTCCGCCGGCTGATTGTTTAGTCGACTCAAAAGCTCACCTCGTCCTCCCCCGTGGCTACGAGCTCCGCCAGCTGCCATATGCGTGCCAGCAACGGGTGCTCCAGGGCACGTGATCTGCTGCCTGCCTTGCCCGCCTCCCCCTTTGCACCCTGAGACGACCCACCACCAGGACCAGTAGCACCAGCAGCAGCACCAGCAGTAGCACCAGCAGTGGAAGTGACATCAGTCAGTGCCCCACTACTCACGCCTTGTACCCCTTCCAAGCCTTCCCTTTTGTGTGCTCCATTCGCAGTAACCGCACAATTGGCAGCGGCAGGAGCGGCAGCAGGAGCGGCAGCAGGAGTGGCAGCAGGAGTGGCAGCAGGAGTGGCAGCAGGGGCAGTAGGGTTCACACCAGGAGTGGTGGCAGGGGTCTTGGAAAATACAGCAGGAGATATGGACGGATGAGAAACAGACGCGTCATTACGGATAATCTCTTCCTTAAGGTTCCCCATGCTGCTGCCTCCGCTACTGCTGCCACTGCTGCTGCGCCACTCCTTGGCACTCCCATCTCCCAGCCGCCCCCCTGGTTCCTCACTTCCCTTTGTCAATACCGCATCGCCATACGATGGAGATGGAGGGAGCTGACTAGGCGGCGGCACCGGGGAAGGGTGCAACACAGGGTTCAACAGGCCAGAATAAACAGGAGGAAATGACCTATTCACATTATTCACGTTATTCGCGATATTTACCCCTCCTGCTTTGCCTACACCACCACCTCCTCCTCCTCCTCCTCCTCCCCCCTGCACCTCCCCGTGCTGAACCCCGTCTCCTCCCCCCAAGATAGATACACCAACCATAACCTCCTGCTTCGCCACCTTCACCTCATTACCCCCGCACACCCCACCACACCCCACTGCACCTCGATCTCCTACCCCCATCACACCCTCACCATGAGGATGACCCATCCTTCCCCCTGTGCCTGTTGCCGCTCTCGCCCCCGCCACCCCTGCCAACTCAGTCGACCCAGACCCACCCCCTGTGCTCACGCCTGCACGCCCCATCACCCCTTTCCACTCCTCCCCTAACCCTCCCCCGCTCCAACCACTCGCACTCTCCTCAGCGGACCTCTTTCCCTGCCTCCCCCTTCCGTCCTGCTCCATCACCCCGAGTGCAGCCCAAAAGCCTGCCGTAGGACCAACTGTAGTAGCCACGGGTTTGCTTCTCTCCCGCTTTCTGCCCCTACCTCGCCCTCTCCCTTTCTTCCCTGTATCCTCGTCTGGCTTAGCTGGCTCTTCCTTCTCCCCTGTGTCAGCGCCAAACTCCTCCCCCAATGCTGCTGCCAGCCGTTCTGCCAGAGATAACCTGGGCCTACTCTGACTTTCACTCGCCGTTGCTCCTCCTTCTCCTCCTCCTCCTGCTGCTGCTGCTCCTCCTGTTCCTTCTCCCCCTCCTCCACCCTCCCCACCACCACCAACTCCGCCCGCTTTTCCCACCTGGCATTTGCAACGCGCACACGCATCAGCAGCACTTGAACTCCCAACAGTGCGCCCACTCCCCCCCATTCCAGCAGCACCATCACCACCACCACCACCACCACCACCACCATCAACAGCAGCAGCAGGAGCAGCAGAGTAAGAAACAGGAGCAGCAGAGATAGAAACAGGAGCAGCAGCAGCGGAAACAGCAGCACCAGGGATGGGTTGGGGACGCCCCGCATCGTTGGCAGCGTCATACAACGCCTTCTGTGAAGCGCCGCGCTGCCACTCCGCGCTAAGCGCTGCTTGCACTGCATCTTGCTGATACTGCGCCGCTGCTGCTGCCTGCATCTTTTGCCCTTGCTCTTGCAACTGAATGTGCCCGTGCATTTGTGGCTGCCCTAGAAGCTGACCTTGCCCCTGCACCAAAACCCGCCACGCCTGTTCTGGCTGCGGAGGTATCCCAGGCACCTGCGCTTGCTGCGCCTCTCTCTCACCCCGCATTTCCCCCTCTGCCGCTTCCATTCTGCACACTCCCGCACTTCCCCCTGAGGCAGCATCAGCAGCAGCCTCGTTACACAACTGACTGAAGCGCGCCACTACGCGAGCCTCTCCTGAGAACGAGTCCATGCTGCCAAACGCCGCCATGCTGCATGCGCCACCGCCCTGCACTGCGTGGGGCACGAAGCAATGCATGGCTGATTCTGTCACAGGCGTTGCTCGTGAGTCGGCGGTTATGACAGCCGCCGTTGATGCCTCCTGCACTTTCTGCTGCTGCAGGGATACATACTCCTGCTGCTGCTGCTGCTGCTGTGCAGCTCCCATCATGTGAGCCTCAGTTCCTGCAGTCCCTGCAGCCCCTATACAAGCTCCAGGATTTACAGCTGCAACCCCTGCCATCAACCCAGGACCTCCACCTTCGCCTGACTCAAAACCCACACACTCCTCTCCCTCTCTTCCTCCTCCTCCTCCTCCTACTCCTCCTCCCCCTCCTCCCCCCCCCTCCCCCTCCTCCTCCTCCTCCTCCTCCTACTCCTCCTCCTCCTCCTCCTCCTCCTCCTCCTCCTCCTCCTCCTCCTCCTCCTCCTCCTCCACCTCCTCCCCCTCCCCCTCCTCCCCCCCCTCCCACTCCCCCATCCGCATTCAACTCATGCGACAGCGCTGCTGCCGCCCTATCCGCCATATGCAGCCACCAGTCGCCGTCCGGCGCCAGGGCCCCCCACGGCAGTCCGGAACCTGCTGCCACAGCTGCCGCCCCTGGCCCTGCCGCGTTCCCTGGTCCCGGAACTGAGTCCAGAAACGACATATCGGAAAGCAGTGCGCTGTAACCCCCACTCCCCCCTCCGGCGGGAGCAGATGCAGCAGCAAAGGCTGTGGTGGCAGGAGCCGCAGCGGATGCATTGCCTGCAGGGAATTGCACGGGCTCAAAGTGAGGCGACTGGCCGGCAAGGCCGCTTATTTGGGAGGCTAATAACGGAGATGAAAGATTCCCTTCAAAGGACGGTATGGAAGCGGGAGCAGGAGCAGCGAAGGCAGGTGGTGTGAAAGTGGCAGCAGGTGGTGCGAAAGTGACGGCAGCTGCAGTGGACGGTATGCCTGAAGTGAAAGCTGGAGCAGATTCGAGTGATGATGGAAGTGGCGCAGGGCCAGAGGACGGGAAGGCAGGAAGCGAAGAGATTGGAGGAGGCTGCAGAAGCGGAGCAGGAGGGTCGTCCCAGAAGCCGATGGGATCCCACTGCCATGACGCTGAGGACGGGGACCCCTGGTGATGGCGAAAGGGAAAGCGAGCGAACGATGGGGGGCGGAAGCGGAGGAGAGACGACGAGACGGGAGGAGAGACGATGAGAGGGGAGGAGAGACGACGAGACGGGAGGAGAAACGAGGAGAGGGGAGGAGAGACGAGGAGGGCTGAGGAGAGACGATAGAACCATTACTGCTGTACGCTAGCACAGCATCCACTGAGCCAGCTTCCCCGCATGAAAACCGCGTGAGAATACTCGAGATTTCAGACGTGTCAGCGCTCACCTCCGCGGAGCCATTATTGCTGTACGGTAGCGCCGCGCCCACTGAGCCAGCGGGGATCGGGGAGGCGGAAAAAGGCGGGCTGGGAATCATTGTAGCGGCGGGGACAGACAGCTGCAGTGACAGGAGAACCTGACGGAAACGTCCAAGGCACTGCTGACGGAGTTTTGCCGGTCAGATGCCCGTCCGGTAGCTCGTCAGCCGGCCGTCAGCTCTCCCACGGGTGTTACTGCCGGCTTCGTGCTGACGTGTCATTCGTTACTGGAGAATGGGGAATGGTATGGCACAGCACGGGAAAGCTGAGAACCGAAGCACGTCGCTCATTCTTGATATAAGAACACGGATATAACCCTAAGCAGAGTAGTGAAGCTCAGCGGTAGTATTATAACAAGAAGTTTTGTTTGAAATGAGCAGGGGAGAATACGGCAGGGAGCGGCTTGTGGAACACGTTAAGGGAGAAGGGATTGGATTCAACCATACGCAACTTCGGCATGAGGGTGCCGCAATACGCACGTCGAAAAGTAGTGGACGGCTTTAAGAGCATGTATGACCAGCCTCGTAGCTCCGTTTTGTGACTTAGGGCTAATGGAGTGGAGCGAGAGGCTGGTGTATCCAGTGTGAAGCTTCGCTGCAGAGGGAGCTACGAAATGCTGCACGACGTTCACACCCGCCGCCAATAATACTAATTTCTTTCTCGGCTGCATGAAGCACCTAAGGCAGCCGCGGGTAGAAACAGTTTAGTGGCTGGATGAGGATGTAGGAGTGGGTTTCTAGGGTGAAACGATAGTGGTACTAAAGCCAAATGGTTTCGAATCTGTGATGCTCAGCACAAGACGTCCGTGACGTCATTTCACCGTCAATGAGCAACACCTGCTACCAAGTGCATAGTTACTGGCCAAGAATGAAAATCGTTATTGGGTAGAGAGTGGATTAACTAAAACACTTAACCAGAAGAAACAAATCACATTGGAAAATGGTTTAGCATGCACTTGTTCCATAGCTTGGATGATCAATAAATATCAGGGAAAAAAGAAGGTCGATGTATTCATTTTATGCATTCCTACTGTCTTTCTTTTACGTACACTTCTTGGGGTATAATGCTGAATTTCACGGGTATTCGAAATATAAAACTTTTGGAAACAAATATATTTGATAAGGATGGGGGGTTCAGGGTTATGTGAGAAGAAGTGAACGAGAATGAAATGACTATGAACGAAGTGAGTACAAATAGGAAACCCTAATTGGGTTGTACCCCCTATGGGATACCCCACTATAGCCTACACAAATATAAAAGCTATAATGTTCTGACACACCCCCATAGGCAAAGTGGGGGAGAACAAGGGGTCACAAGACCAGTCAAGCAAAGCAAAGCAAAGCTCAGGGTGGATCACAAAGTCACCACACATTCCGAGCACAAGTTCAAAGGCCAAGAGGCCAGTTCACATGCAAGATCACATATAGAGATATACAAGAGTCAACCAAGCAAGAGCAAGAGTATATATATAGGTGAAGGTACAGGCAAGGTCAAGAAGTGAGCAAGTGAGGCAAGACAGGCACAAGACCCAGCTGCGTGCAGCAACGCTGATGATCACAAGGCGCAAGTGCCTTGGTGAAGACATCAGCAGTGTTGGCCTCAGAGGCCACGTACGCAAGTCGCAATAGACCACGCTGCTGCAACTCACGAGCAAGAAAGTAGCGGAGAGCAATGTGCTTCGTTCTGTGCTCCAGTCGCTGCTGTAGCTCACGAGCAAGAAAGTAGCGGAGAGCAATGTGCTTTGTCCTGTGCTCCAGTCGCTGCTCTCGACACAAGGCCAGCATGGCCTTGTTGTCTACGTACAGGACTGGAGGAGAACGCGGCGGCTCTCCAAGGTCGGTCAGCAGGTAGGTGAGCCAGCGAAGCTCCTAGGCAGCCATAGCCCCCGCGTAGATCTCAGCCTCACAACTAGATCCGAGAACAGAAGACGAGCGGGTAGCCCGCCACGAAACAGAGCCGGAACCAAGGCTGAAGGTGTAACCCTGTGACGACCGCTGCGTAGCCTGGTCGTCAGCCCAAGAAGCGTCCGCGTGCCCAGTGAGGACCACTGGACTGCGCCCTCCAAGCACTAGCCCCATGCCCAATGTACTGCACAAGTAGCGCAACACCCTCTTCGCTGCAGCCATGTGCTCTGGTCGGTGTCTCCCAGGAGCAACATAGCGTGCGAGAATGCTAAGAGGGTATGCAAGGTCAGGTCGTGTGCAGGTCATCAGGTACATGAGGCAGCCAACAAGCTCTGCATACGGGCCACTCGACTCTACGGACTCATCCGAAGGCAGAGCTGAGAGCGAGTGGCGAGTAGGCAGAGGAGTGGCCTGAGGCGAGGAGTACGTGAAGCCGAAGCGCTGAAGGACCTGCTGCACCATGTGTGACTGAGTCAGGGTAATGGTGCGGCGTGCTCTGTCCCGGGTGATCTGCAAGCCAAGGTAGCTGCGCAGTTCACCAAGGTCAGTACACGCGTGTCTCTTCTGCAGCTCGGACTTCACGTAGGCGAGTCCAGCAGTGTCAGCTGTGGCAAAGACCAAGTCGTCGACGTACACGAGGATGTAGAACGGCGGCAGAGAGGTGTCGGTGCGCAGAAACAGCGACGGGTCGGCAGTAGCAGGAGCAAACCCAAGTGCCGCGAGCGTAGTCCTCAGTGTGTCGTGCCACTCACGTGGCGCCTGGCGAAGACCGTAGACTGGACGCCGGAGACTCCACTGGGTACCAGGAGGGAAAGACCCAGTGAAGCCAGGTGGGCGACGCAGCCAGATCTCCTCGTGCAGGCTGCCCTGCAAGAAAGCAGTGCTGAAGTCGAGAGAGTGCAGCTCGTAGTCACGGTGAGCAGCAACGTGCAGCAGTACCCGAAGAGTGGTCATCTTCGGGGTGGGGGAGAAGGTCTGAAAGTAGTCAACTCCCTGCCGCTGACTGAAGCCACGAGCCACGTAACGCGCCTTGAAGACAGGCGGAGAACCCGGCGGCCGCTTCACCCTGAAGATCCACATGCCACTGACTATGTTCGCCCCAGGAGGGGGAACAGCGTCAACGTAGGTGCCTGTGGACTTCCAGGAAGCCATCTCTGCATCCATAGCTGCCTGCCACTGAGAGGAGTAGGGACCCTCTATCGCCTCCGTGTAAGAGCGCGGAGTCGGGATGTCTAGTGCATCCGGGTCTCCCTCAGGGGCTAGCAGTACAGACGCGAGATGAGGTGAAGCGGCGACCAGACACTGGAACTCCTCCTGCCTGTCCTCAAGTACGTCCGTGCCAAGGGCACACTCACCCCCGACGGACGGATGACAGACAGACTCAGACTCAGCGACAAGACTAGCAGCGTAGTCTAGACGACAGCGCGCAGCAAAGTCGACGAGCTCACTGACAAGGGCAGACGCAGCAGAAGACTCGAAAGAAGGGTCAGTGACAGCAGTAGCCAGGAGACGCGTGACAGTAGGACTGGCAGCACGAAGAGAGTCCGACTCCGGGTCGGCAAGAGCAGGAAGAGAGGAAGCAGGAGGAGAAGGCAAAGGGGCACGCAGAGGAGCAGTGGACGGACGCAGAGACATCCGGTGCGTGCCAGGGACAGGAGGAGGACGCTGACGCGAACCGCGACCACTAGTGCGCGCAGTACGAACAGGCGACGCAGGACGAGACGCAGGCTCACGACGCTCAGTAAGACCTCCAGTCGGACCAGCGTAGGGAGAAGGAGCAGGCAAAGGGGAGGCAGGCTGTAGCTGTGACTGGACAGGCTGTGGACCCTCTAAGGGAGGAGGAGGAGGACCAGGGGAAGGTGTAAGACCAAGAACCTGCTGCAGGAGCGGAACAAAGTACGGTCGGGGCCGCGAGGCGACTCCAGAAACAGCAGGGACAGCACCAGTACGCCCACCAGGAGTATCCGCTCCAGCAGCACCTCCAGCAGCACCTCCAGTAGCTCCAGAACCCCCAGCAGCACCTCCAGAAGCCCCAGAACCCCCAGCAGCACCAGGAGCACTGCCAGCTGGACCGCCAGCGGTAGTCTCAGCGCCAACACCCTTAGTAGTACCAGCTCCAGAAGAACTCTCAGGCCCAGCAGCTCCAGTACCCCTAGTACGAGCACCTCCGAGACGCGCGGCAGCAGTACCCTCTGCAGCCAAAGAACCTCCAGCACCAGCAGCACGCCTCCAGCGCCGGGCAAACCACTCACGCAGCTCCTGTGGGGAGAGTGGCTCTCGGCGAGACGAAGCACCTCCAGGCGGAGAACCTCCAGCCGAAGAACCTCCAGGCTCAACACCCCCAGGCCCTGCACCCCCACGCTCAGCACCCCCAGGCCCAGCACCCCCAAGCTCAGTACCCCCACGCTCAGCACCCCTAGGCTCAGTACCCCCAGGCTCAGCACCCTCATACTCCGCACCCGCAGTCTCAGCACCCCCAGGCGTAGCACCTCCAGTCCCAGCACCCCCAGGCTCAGCTCCCGCAGCAGCACCAGAGTCACCAGTGACCTCAACAGGCTCAACCGCGTCTACCTGGGACACACCTGAAGGGGCAGGACCCTGAGGGGGGAGGGGGTCGACCGGGGGGGGACCTGATACCAAGAAGAGCGGGGGCGGGGGGAGGGACGGAGTGCGGTAGGGGAAGAGGCGGTAGTAGGGTATCGACTCGTCAAACGTGACATCCTGGGAGGACAGAACACGTCGAGAGGTGGGGTGGTAGAACTGCCACCCAGGGGCGTCGGGGGGGAACCCCAGAAAGACGCAGGGAGCAGCGCGAGGGGACAGCTTGTCCGCAGACAAGTCGCGGACAAACGCCCGAGATCCCCAGACCCGGAACGCCGACGCATCGCCAACCTTCCCCGTACACAGCAGGGCTGGGGAGGTCTCCGGCCTAGAGACCCTGGGGTGGAGGTTGATCTGATGCGCCGCGTACCTGACCGCAAACGGCCACAGAAAATGGGGGGCAGCCGCATGCATCATAGACGTACGAGCGACGTCCATGACCATGCCAATGCGGCGCTCTGCAATCCCATTTTGCTGCGGTGAGTCCGGAAGCGTGAAGGTCTGGCGGATGCCTCGCGCACGACAGTAGGCACGCAGAAGGCCAGAGGAGAACT